TTATTGCCTTTCCTTTTTTTTTTTTTTTTTTTTTATTTCTTTCAGTTTGAGAAATGCTGAGCGTGTTCTTCCTTTTTGGTTTTCAGACTCCAGGTCTTTGCACATTTATCTGTATCTATATCTATAGATCTGTATTTGCCACAGTAAAACAGTGCAAAAATAACTGGAAAATGCATTGAGCTGCACATTTATCATACATATACTTTTCTGTATGTTATACTTCAATTACAATTTTATAATACAAAATGTGTTTCCCTCAGACCATTTCTACTTTGATTAGCTAGCATTCCTTTTCGTTTTCACATGCCAGCCCAACTCATTTATATCAAAATGTCATGTTTCTTGAAGCCATTTCTTTTTTTCTACATCCCCATTCTGCCTCCCTGGTTTCCAGCTTAAATACATATTTCTAACTTCCATCTCTTCTTTCTCCCTCTTCTTCCCCTTGGACCCTGCTAGCCCTGTTTAAGCATGCCTACTCGCTCAGACTTTAAAGAGGTCTTTTGCGACACATTTGCCCAAAGCAGTGTGTCAGTTGATTTCTTGACTTCAGTTTCTGTTCCGTTTTCTTTGATATTGTTTATTGATCCAGTTGTGAGGGTTTTCATTTTCTTCACATTCAGGCATAATCCATAGTCTTCAACTTTCATTATTAAGTGCTTCAAGTCATCTTCATTTTTGTGGAGCAAGGTTATGTCATCTCCATGTTGCAGGTTGTTTGTGAGTCTTTCTCCAATCCTGATGCCGTGTTCTTCATACAGTTCACCTCCTCAGATTATTTGCTCAGCATGGAGATTGAATGTTGTTGTTGTTGTTATGTGCTGTTGAGTTGGACCCAACTCATAGCAACCCCTCCTTGGGTTTCCGAGGCAGTATTACTGCAGAAGTAGATTGCCCATCTTCCTTCTGAGGAGTGGCTGGTGGGTTTGAACCGCCAGCCTTCTGGTTAGCAGTCAAGTGCCTTAGGCACTACACTCCCAGAGCTCCCAGAGATTCAATAGGTGAGGTGAAAGAATCCAACCCTCCCATATACCTTTTTCAATTCTGAGACAACCAGAATCCCCTTGATCTGTTCACATCACTGCCTCTTAATCCATGTACAGGTTTCCACATGAGCTCAACCGTTATAAAACTCCCATTCTTTGCAATGTTTTCCGTAATTTGTTACGATCCACACAGCTGAATGCCTTCGCATAGTTTATAAAACAACTAAGCTTCTTTCTGGTATTCTGTGCTTACGGCCAACATCTGTCTGGCAGCAGTGATGATATCCTTCATCCCTGTCTTCTTCTGGATCCAGCTTGAACTTCTGTCAGGTCTCAGTTGGTGTACAGCTGCAGTCATTTTTAAATTATGTTCAGAACTTTGCTAGCATGTGATATGAAGTTGTTGTTTGATAGCATGCATATTCTGTATGATATCCTTTTTTTGGAATGGGCACAAATACAGATCTCTTCCAGTCAGTTGGCCAGGCAACTGTTTTCCAAACTTCTTGACCTAGAAGAATAAGCACTTCCAGCATTTACGTTTGTTGAAACATCTCAATTGATGTAATTCTGCAAGATCAGTGATGAATTCATTGAAAAGACTTTTTTCCCCAACACCATAATCAGTAA